TCGTTGCACTTGTTTGTGGATTGGGGGCCCGTGAACCATGGGTCGAGTAATTTTCCGCTAACCCGATTGTCACTTCTTGCGAGAATTTCGGCCGCATCAAATTTAAAGATGTGGCCGGGTCTCGTCACATGAGGCGCAACTTGAGAATCGGCATCATTTCGCCGCACTGCTGTCGCTTGTTCGGCAATGATGAATCCACGAAGGATCTCGAAACCTCAGGCGAATAAAATCCTTGTCCCAGCGATCGGGTCGACTGCATACTTTCCCTGCGGTGGCAGTAGGCCACTTTGTTTCATTAACTGATGCCTTATGATTGAGACAGGCCTGTGTGGGACTCCCACTCCAAGTATTTCGAGAATGTAGCCGACGGCCGCCTCCGAGATATTTTTGACGCACAAAATCGCTACCCAAATTTGTTTGACTTACTGTGATTTTCTCGTTCCTCTTGATTGCGCATGCCGGTTGCGCACCGGTTGACCAAGTTGCGCGGATAGCCATTAGCCTTTAAACACTCTTCAAAGATACTGCATTTCGGCGACTTGGTCTTACACTGATTCTTCAAGCATAAAATCTGAAGAAGACGTAACTTTATATCAAACGAGTACAAGAAAAAATCTTTTTTGCCTTTTTTTCTATAACTTATATTAGAAATTATAAGGGCAATTAAAATCAACGAAAAAGAAGCATGCTACTCAGAAAACCGTTGGTGATAAAGAGGAAGCTTGTTCAGAAGCTGGCATCCTGAAGTGACTGACGGAGATTAAGTCGCATGCTAAACAATACTACAACCATGCTTAAAAAACATGTTAAATTGAAAGCAATTTTCAGAATAACGGCTGACATTTCCACGAGATACAAAATTAACTGTAATCTGAAGACAGCAGACAAAAAGCGCCGCGTTTCTATGTGCGCAAGAGATTATATTTGTAGGCTTTTTGCAAAAAAGTGACTCAGTTAATATGTTACTGGTACGGTTAACACATAACCCAGACGCAACGAGCTCGTGGCTCAGTGGTAAGAGCTTCAGATTTTGATCGAGAAGAAAGTGGCAGCGAACCTCGCGTGAGGCACCACTTGGGGTGACTGGCTAACGACGGATACCAACCCGTAAATGGCCATTCCAGTCCCCTCCCTTGTCTTTGCTTGCAATACTATCTGCCTAAAACTACTAGCTGCCGTCAGGGCCCAAGAAATGAGACTCAAAGCAAATCAGAAGTAAGTTGCGTGAACGGTCAGTGAAATTTCATTAACCAGTGTTAATATCTTTTGACCTTGACCGGCAAGGCAGTGAGCTCGTTGCTCAGTGATCGAAAGGTCGCGAGTTCAAACCTCTGGTGCTGCACCA